TCAAGCAAATAAGTGACTCTCTTTCATCATAGATTTCTGTGATTGTGTTCCATCTACTCACCAAGGAAAGGAGCACATTGTCTTGGAATGGAAAGTGTTCTTAGTGTGCAGAAAACACAATTTTCTCTGCTTTTGGCCTCTGGATACAGCCAGAGGTAGTGGCTGTTTAGTGGAGCTATCACTTTATACCTATAACTTCATCTTTTCACTGCCCCAAATTTGTCAGGTTTTTTGGTGTCATCCATTGTCAGTGTAAAAGGCTTCCCAACATATATGGAAACAGAATGAACTGTATCTTTAAATTTCTGGCCTGGATCATTCCTAGTTATTCAGTCCCTATAATAATGACCCCCAGGAGAGAAACCCCCAGCCTAAGGAAGTTGGGTGGCAGACAACCCTTAGATCTTTAAGGATGAGTGGCACCTAATGGGTGAATGTCTGGGGATCTAACAAAGAGCAGAGTTGATGGGTTTAAATAACAGCAGATCCTGCTCTCTCAATTTCTATACACCCATCACTTACAGTGTAGCTTCCAGGGAGACTCATTTCCTGCCCTGGTGTATATCTTGCTTCATAGCACTAAAAAGAGACCATTTCTGAGCATTAATATCATTGGAAGTATTGGTTGCATGTTCCACTAAAACAATAATTGACTTCTCCCTCACACCTCTCTAAAATGCCGTGGATGGCACTCTCCAATGTAAAACATACCCCTAGTCATAGCTGGGCAGCTTGAACCAGGAAGTAGACAATAACAATATTGCAATTCTGACTACTTGGGTGCAATGCCTGCCTCTCTCCCAGCATTTTGTGCACTGGGCAGTCCCAAAGTTTGTCGGTTGGTTGTTGGGAACTCCCATAACAATAGGGTTATTTGTGGTGCTTAGACTCTCAGATACAGGCCACCAGAGCTAGTCAATGCACAGTGTCCTTAAAGGATAGGACATCCACTGACTATACTATGTGGGGTTCCAGGAACACATTTCTCCACCCACCATTGTAAGCAGAGGAAGATCTCCTCCTATACCCTCACCAACCCAACATGCCAACACAGGTTGGTCAAAGCTCCATAGGGCTGGGTGGAAAACAGAAAAATATAGGAGGCATGAATGTTAACTCTAGAGAGAAGTGACTGCTAAGAGAAATGGAGGTAAGAGACTAACAGCCGCACATGGGTTCTCTGTTATTCCTCCTAGATTCTTCTTTCTGCCCTAAGGCACAGGCCTGCCAGTTCCCTTTCCACCGCCGCCATTTGTTGTTTCTGACCACGCTTCTCCTTTCCTCCCCACAATGCCCAGGCCACATTAGAGAAGCTGTCTCTTTATGCACCTGTCCCAGATGCAAGCCTCACAACCATTCTAGATCTGGGTTAACTTCTTGGCTAATAGAAAATGTATTGCAGTTCCTGGAAATGGCCCCGAGGATTACAATTGCTGGTGATGGAGGCTGTAAATGATGACCTCCTGTGGGCAGGGGGATAATTACCCTCCAGTTGCCTCCATCCACTTAAGTGATTGTTGGTTTCTCGACTCCCTCTTAATACCTTCCTCCCCACAAATGAAAGAATGGAAGGAACATAGCTCTGAGACTGCCTTGCATTGATTGCCTCTTTGCCTTTGTTTGGGAAACCTAACACTTTTAAGGTCCTCAGACTATGAGAAATTTATCAGGCCCTTTTGGACACCTTTCTTTTTTCATGAGAAACTAGTACTATGGAAACTTTAAGATAATTGACTCCTAAAAATGTTGGTCATTTGGCTTCATGTTTGCTAAGCTCCGGGTCAGATAACTTCTTCCTGCCGTGTTGTCTGTGTGCTTATTAAGCTGCTATCAGAGCCTGGGGGGAGTAATTCTTTAAGGGTGATCTGTGGTACAATCATTGGGAACAATACAATAAAACAGAGTAACCAAAAACCTACTTCTCCAGCAAAGGAAGTGGTGGAAATCCCGGGCTTGAGTCATTGAAGAATACCCTGAGCCTGGCGGTATAACATAATCAGAAACAGGGAGCCGGGGCCCTGTGAGCAGCAGGAGAGTCCCTCAGAGCTCCAATGTCCGTGATTCATCGGAGAGTGGGTGAGATTCTCCCAGACAAAGGCTAGTGGAGATATCCTCTACCAGATGGCGCAAGAGAGCTTTCTGGGAAGCCTGAGGCTCGGGCTGGCTGGAGAAGGCAGTTTGGTCATTTCCCTGGCAGCCCAAGATGGCCCAGGTTTTTCTGGGGAGAAGAGAGTAATAACAGCCAGATGCCAAGTCCCCCATTTCTCCTTCCTCTCGTCCTGCTTTTATTGCCCAAAACATCACAGTCCGGCCATGAGTTGTTCCTCTATTATTTATCTCGCACCCATTCTTTACTTCCCATTGTCCTTGTCCACTTCATGTCGTAGCCAGGACCATAGCATCAGCCCAAGGTCCTTTTCCTGAACGACCCCTCTAATATGCCCTCCACACTACCAGTGTGTTATCTG